AGGATTATATTATTTCGTTTTCTGGTAAGTAGTTTCATGCTACATATTTTTATAAATGTTCCTCTACCCTGAACTATTGGAAAATTTAATTGTTATTTCAGGACTAAACTATTTTGATAAATTATTATATTATCAATGGAATCAAATTATTTCTGAAACATGTGTGAACTTGGCATACTGTAAACTATTTGTTTTGGTCTCATGTTTATAATGGTGAGCTACCATGTTTTGCGAAACTGATGTGTATTGATTATTGGGACTATCTGTGTATTTTAGTCCAAGGAAATTATTCCACCGTGTGTGGTGACTCTGGCCACTATGGAACAGATCCGAGTTGGGCCGTGATGACTCTAGTGCTCAACAATTGTAAGAAAAAAAACCTAGGTTAAGCTAGGTGACTTTCAATCGGATCGTCTTAGAGAAAAAGCCCGGGTTGCCACCTTAAGGATGACTCTTAGTTCGGTATTGGATCCAACAAGGCTTATAGCCTTGAGAACTGTATCGCATGTCACTTGTTATTTCTTGGTACCTAGAAAATTATTAATGTTCATGTTGTAATCTGTTTTAAGTGGAATATGTCATTCATCATGTCCTTGAGAGACATGAGTATTTTAACTGTTGAGTTGTGGAACCTTTTTTTTGAAACAGATTATCTTTACCAAACTGTATGCCAATCTAGTTTCTGTTATATATATCTTATTTTGGAATTGATCCCTGTTTTCAAAACTGTATATACTATCCATGTTGCTACTCACTGAGCTATCAGCTGACTTAGTTGTTTATCATTTCCAGGTGTTAGAAGGAGTTAGAGTGGACTTGTGGTGTAGTGGGGACTCAATTGCATGGACCTCTAGGACATTCATTTATTTTGTTTTAGATTGTTATGTCAAGTTTGTGCATATTTCTTTTTATTCTTATTGAGATTTATTTAGGATTATTTTGATATGTGGGCTATTTATATCCCATAAGTTTAAATGGTATGGATTACGGTTGGTTTTGTCGTTTATAATTGTGGCATGTCTCTGGATTGAGTTTTGGTTATTTATTAGTAGACTATTGTGTAGTTGTTCAATGTGATTATGGATTCGTGTTTAAGGCTTACGTGTGCCTTGGGCTTAGTCCTTGTGGGCCACGGCCGGTCATGCCTGGATTTGGGGTGTGACAACAAGTTTCTACTTTCTTCTTGGAAATTCTCTTATCTCTTGGCGGAGTAAGAAACAAACACTCACTGCTCACTCTAGCATTGAATCTGAGTACCATGCCCTTGCTCACACCACGCAAGAATTACTTTGGCTTCGTTGGTTACATACAGATCTGGGTGTTCATCATTCTGAGGCTACTACTCTCTACTGTGACAATCATAGTGCTATTCAAATAGCCCATAATGATTTCTTTCATAATCACACTAAACACATTGAAATTGATTGTCATTTCATTCGTCAGCATGTTGTTCGTGGTACTATTCGAATGCATTTTGTATACTCTTCTGATCAACTTGTTGATATCTTCACAAAGGCACATTCATCAAGATGTTTTCAGAACTTGGTTTCCAAACTCAAGACTCTCTCTACTTTACCACCTAGAGTTTGAGGGGGGATATTTGTATAATATTGTACAACCATTATATTGCTAAAGATTCCATACTTAGCATATAGGATCTCCCCGTTTATTTATAGTATATCATTCCTTTAGGTATAGTATAGCATTTCCTTACTTAGTATATTCTATATATACAGTCTATGTATCGTCATATCATTATCTCAATACATACATATAATTTTTTCTTCTTTCTCTTTTAATCTTTTCTTCAGTTCTGAACCGTTTCCAGTCCAAAAGTTTGTCCTGAGAATTTCGTGGTTTGAACTCTTCGTACCACTATCAGCCTTCAAAGTTTGGGCATGTGATTTGAATTTCATACTTTTAAGTTTCCAGTTCTTATAGTCTTCATTATAAGGTTTATGAGATAAACGATTCCAATCATCTTATGGGCCTAGTGTGAGACCCACAAAATGAAATTTGAAGAAATATAAAGAATATTAGAGAAAAGTTAGGGATCATGAAAGATTTATGATCTTTGGATTACTTTGATTAGTGTGTGGTGCTTTATTCTAAGTATAATCCAAGGGTCACAAAGCTTTCATGATTATTTTCATGAAAGGTTTTTCATGATACCTAACATTGCTGAGAATATTAATGCCTTTTCTTTTTGTTTTTAAATGCTAAATCTGTAATTATACCGCATCATTTTGTGTAATTTTGGAAAATTCTATCAAGCACCTTGTAACGCCTTACTTTTTATTACTCGAAATCATTACCAAATTCATTACTTAATTTAAGTTCAGAGATAACATGCGGAAATAAAACTCATTAGCCCCATGAGTAGAAATAAATAACAATTCTCTCATCCGAATGCAAATTAAATATAACATGAGCATACTGAATAAAATGCCCGAAGGCTTACATCATTAAAGAATCAAGAAGAAGGGTGTAACCCTTTTACATAATGGCATTCCGCCAACACAAAAGAGACCCCGTGGCCAACAAATAAGAAGATCCAAATCTTGTAGCACATCCTGCTTAACACCTGAAAAAGATTCAACAACGTGGGATGAACATATAGTCCAGTAGGGATCTCAACATGGCCCTCAACAATAACAACTTACAGATAGATATGATCACGAATGCTTAATCTCATACTAGAATAGTAATGTGGCGGTTTATACAAAAATAAACATAAGTATGAACTTTTCTTAAAAACAGCCATTTCATTCAACGCTATAAGCGATTCATCTTTCTTTTCTTTTCATTACCCCTTGTTCCCAAACTTTCATAACAATAACAACTTCTTAGAAAAACAATTTCTCTAAGCCCATTACTTTTCTCCCATTTTCCATACTTACAACAGATTTTCCCTTTTTCAAAACATACTTTCAAACACCCAATTTTCCTTCACACTTTCCCAAAATCTCATAATGGCATTTTGGTTTATTCCCAATACATTCATATCTATACATGCATGCCTTTAATAAAAGGGAGATAACAAATCATCAACATGTATATAATCAACAAATGAGGCAACTCGGCCCTCCAAAATTGTAACCATCGTAATCCATGATATACTCAGATACACTGATGTACATTCCCTAACTTCTCCCAAACAAAGATACTTAGATAATGTGTTAAAGTATATGAACACATATGGAGTACATCCCCTATCTCCTCCCAAACAAAGATACATAAATAATGTGTTAAAGTATATGAACACATATGGAGTACATCCCCTATCTCCTCCCAAACAAAGATACATAAATAATGTGTTAAAGTATATGAACACATATGGAGTACATCCCCTATCTCCTCCCAAACAAAGATACATAAATAATGTGTTAAAGTATATGAACACGTATATGTGTGGAGTACATCCCCTATCTCCTCACACACACTGGAGTACATCCCCTATCTCCTCCCAAACAAAGATACATAAACAATGAGTTAAGCACTTCATCACATACAATGTTCAATCAACACCAGTGTAATGCAAACACAACAATTCAATACAACAATGTCATCCTCCACCGATGACCAAGGACAAAACCTCTAGATGCATGTATTCAGTACACCTATTAGAAGACTCAACTATCATGAGATCTTAAACCCAACAACAACGCTATTACGATAGGCAAAGGTAAAACCCCAAATGTGGGTATTCAACACTCAATGACAAAATAGTTCAATTTCCATATTCATTTTCCCGAGACTCACATAAAGTTAACATTTCATTTTCCATTTTCAAGATCAACTTTCATAAACTTTTCAAGTCAACATGTTACACCACTTATTCCCAAAAACACTTTTCCCATTCACAAAACCAATTCCATTCTTTTTATTTTACAAAACCAATTCCATGGATAATAAAGCCATAATCCAACTCGGTTCAATACATTCATTTCAAAACAACCCCAAAGCCATAGTTAATCCCTTAAGCATTAACACCTTCACCCAACTCATATTAACAATAGAAGCTTATAAACATTAATCAACTACCCTCCATTTTAATTTACCAAATCAAAACATAATTTAGGGCTTTTTCTTCTTTTCACAATAACATGCTAATTTACACTCCAATTAGCCCAAAGAACTATCAATGATAAAGTAATCATTCTCAAACAACCAACCCTAGGTTCCCTCACATGGTTTTCAAAGAAATTCAACATGATATGGTTTTCATGTAATACAAAACTACCACATGTCTATCTATAGACGAAGTATTGAAAAAGAATAAGGAGAATCCCTACCTCAAATGGAGAACCCAAGGGGAAGAAGAGCCAAACTCGAAAGTGCTCCAATCCCAAAGTTTTTCGGATCAAAACGAAGCCCTCAACAAGCTCCACATTTTTTACAAAGGCCCAAGGATAGAAGATCACTCCTACTAGATCAAACCCTAGAGAGAAGTTGGAGTTTTAGAGTAAGGTGCTCTCCAATGGAGGTTTTGAAAAGTAAGAGAGAGAAAGAAAGTGTGAAAAGTGATTTAAAATCACCCAGCTACCATCTGATATACGACTAGTCCGCTCGAGCGGAGAATAGGACGCTCGAGCGTCAAGCACAAAAACTAGACCCGCTCGAGCGCAAGAATACCCGCTCGAGCGCCAAGACACAACTGCAAAACACACCCGCTCGAGCGCAAAGGGAAACCCGCTCGAGTGTAGATTACCCTCTCCTAGTATTTTTACAAACATTGAACACCCGCTCGAGCGCAAAAAGGCCCGCTCGAGCGCGACCCGCTCGAGTGTAAGGAAATCCGCTCGAGCTTGAAAAACAAACCTGCAGTACTTTTGCAGACGCACAAAATGCTGAAAGGGTGCAAACTCCGCTCGAGCGCTAAGCGATCCGCTCGAGCGGAGAACTAAAAATCTAGGCAACAAGAATTGGAACAAAAGCTCAACCAACCTGTTCGAAACACGCCCAACACAACCTAAAACTCAAATACCAAGAGTAAAGGATGGAAATGAGAAGAAGACAACAACACATCCGCGGAACCGAGTCCGGAATACAATAAACAATGAAGGGAAAACCGGGATCGCTATAACCTTCTTCCAACTTTCTTAAGAATATAGTTCAAGATTTCAAATAATCTTACATAAAAGTTTTTCCATGGGCTCAACAACCTTTATTACAGAAGTAAGCTAGAATGGAAAACATTGTTTGTGTCAAAGTGAGTAGAAGCAACACAATAGCTCCGAGAAACGAGATGATTGTCCATGGGCTGTTGAAATAATTACGCCTTAACATCGTAGTCCATATGTTCCGACGTTGTTTACCATACCCGCTTACATTTTTAAATACTTGAGAGTAATAAAAATTGTCACGAGGTGCAACGGCACAAGTAGAAATCTTGTTAAGAATCGACACAACCGCTTCATCACTACCTAACATGTTTTTGAGAATTCCATAGCGACGAAGCAAGGAGACATCCTGTGATGAGTTAATGAGGCAACACAGGAAAGTTACATAACCACTTATATATTTGAGGCCAATGTCCTCCTCGAGATGATGTTGCTCGTATGCAATTAGATTTCTAAAAACACTTTCTGTCTTCTCATGTATGACGAATCTCGGGACTTCTAATACCCCATTTTTAAATTTTACATTATAAAAGAGTGTATCATGCTTAGATTTCTTGAACTTGATCCCAACTTCATGTAGCTCTGTGGCACAATGTATGTGTTCCCATATCTTATTCTTGTCTCCAACGACACTTGTTAAAGGTATTGATTTTGAGAGCGAAAAAGATGTAATTTGGTGTGCCAGACCAATAAAATGTTTCACACCACAAGCTGAAATTCCATTATAAGCATATAAAATCTTTTCAAAACCTGGCCATGCATTATATGAAAAATATTTACCGACAAAACAATAGTATTGAATGGCTAAATCAGTGATATTGTCATGAGGGTCGAGAACTTTGGTCATATCGAACAACTGCACAAGAACAAAGAATGGAAGTTGATTTTCAAATAACAATAAGTCGCGCAATATACTTGGAAGTATCCAATCAATTTTGAAGAGCGGGTCATTTCTATCTCTCATACTTGTTATGGTAAATTTGCGAAACAACTCAACAAGAAAGCAGCTGTCAAGAAGCATCATTTTCACAAACTCATCTTTGTTAAGCCATACAGAGTCTGCATAACACCTAAGTGCTTGTTCTTGCAAATCTCTCATGGCTACTATGTATCTATCCACACTAGTCTCATTTCTTCGTTTAAGAAGCAATCGCAGATACCGTAATTTGTGTTCTTCCATCCATTGTAGGTTGTCTTTACCATGGTGATATGGTCCTATAGCCATTATTTCTGGTTCATATAACTTTTCATTTTGCCAACGTAGTCGATCATGCACTTTGTAGATATAACACTCGAAGTCTGTACCAGATAGGTGAGTAAACTTTTCATCTAAGTGAAGGGAGACAGGATCAACACTTGCATTCGACATCATATCTTGTAAAATTAGTGGAAATCCTGTCTAAACAAATTACAAAATTTGTTATACATATATAAATAAAAAATTAAAAGAAAGAACATAGGATATATTACATGAATGAAGCCAAATTTAAAAGATCACAGATTGGTCTAAAAGTGTTTTCCAAAGAGGTTTTCTCATAAATTTCTAAGCTTACATTATAGACTGACCATGGCTAGTACATTTTTTAGTTATCTTAAAAAAAATGGAAAACCCTTGAAATGCTTCAAAGTCTATCTCCTATATCTAATTTTTTGGCAAATTATTTGAAGAATTTTTTTTTTTTAGTTGGTGATCTAATTGAAGTGGTGCTATTGGGTTTGGGCTCCTCGGTTCACTTTAGGACCACCTAATTGATTGGAACCTTTCAATTTATAGGATCCGCGGATAACTTAATTTATTTAAAAAATTAAATTAATTGGATATTGATAATTATATGACCGGATCACATTTGTCTTATAAAATTAGACAACAAAATTTATCTAGTGGAATCATCATTGGAGAGGAACTCAACCCTTGTAAAAATTTCTGTGATAGATAACATTGGATGAAGCAAAATGTTACCTATAATCTTATTCCTCATATCTTTTTCTCACTACAAAACACAAGTAAGCAAGTGGGTTTTATATGCATTTAAAGGCCTAGAGCTTATTACTTTGTATTTAAGAGTGAGAAACTAAAATAAAAATATATAATTATATATAACATTACTCTTAGATAAAACTACCAAAACTACATACATATGCATGTGTTTCTTAAAACGTTTGCAGGCCACCGCCCCTCCTGATCCCCCACTACTTGTACCCTTATCAAGTGTGATATTCAGTTCAAATCTTATTATTGTGTCTAGGGAGTAGGATACTAAATATGATACGATATGAATACGAGTATAGAAGAAAACTTTAAAAAATATGAAACCAATACGATTATGATATGTTTTTTTAAAAAATAAATAAATTATTTTTTAAAAATTATTAATAGTGAATTACGCATAAAATCAAGAATGTTAAAAAGTCATACTATACTTTTATAATGAAAAATACTAACATTTAAGAATTAGATATTAATTTACGATAGTGGCTTGTTTACTTTTCAATTTTCAATAGATCTTGCACATATTTCATTTCAATATCTAATATGTTTGTATTATAATAATAAAATAATTTACAACTTGTCTCTACATTTTTCCTTTTGGCACAGGTAAAAATACTGTTTTCAAATTTACTTGCTTATTTATTTGTGGATATTTAATTTTAATTGTACTATTATTATATTTTCTTATTAATACTTACTTTCTATATAATTATATGGGACATGCATGAAAGAATAAAGATATATCAATTTGACAAATTTAATTACTTTAATTCATTATATTCTTCTTATCAAATAACTAAATAAAGTATTAAAAAAATATTCTTATATTTATCGTTACAATTATTTATATTATATTATAATATTGTGCATGAAATAATACAATTCTAATTTTATAAAAGAAGTATTATGTGATTTAGAGTATCTGATACATATTGTGAATATCCAAAAAATAGATATCTAATACAAATATAATACCGATACATCTCTCTTTTTGAAATATCTGTGAAAAATATCAGTACTTCACAACAATGTCTTATGGAAATTTGATTTCTTTCATTTTTCCCTTCTAGCTACCAATTGTTAAAATATAAATAAATAAGTGGACAAACATACCAGGAAAGAGAGGCCTCCAAATATCAGCTAATTCGCTTACAGACACCTCAAAAACCAAGAGAAGGATGACAGTCAAGAGGACTTTCCAAACAACAACAAACTTTTAAGGCCACACCATTTATAACTCTTTTTATCTACGTACATATGCATATTCATCCATATATATATAAAGGGTGAGTGAACAATATATATATATATATATATTTTTGTTGAATTTATCTTATTTTTGTCTGTTGTGAAAGGTTTTCTTTACCGTTGAATTTATTTATCTTCACCTACTAAGACTTCTATTATTACAAGACTCTTGAATAGACCTTTCAACAGCAAAATTATTCTTTTCTTATATTCCAATTCTGCATGCTCACCAAATGAATCAAGATATCTATCTAAACACAATATTTCAATGATTGTGTAGGGCTTTTATGGCGTGAGATTTTGGGTTCAACTTTTATGGAGAGGAGTTTGATATCTTTATGGTGTTTGATTAATTCCTCCCCCATTATGGGATTGTGCGTTGATAAAAAAAAAAAATGGGGGTTATATGTGATTAATAATGATTGTTGGGCTTGGCTTGATGGATTGCTTGTTAGATTTTGTTGATTTTCTATCTATTATGGATTAGTGGTCTGTTTGATAATGTACATATTTCTCATAATGTAATTACTCTCCTATCTATTAAAAAAAAAAAAAAAAATCACCTCTACTGCCACCGTTCATATCACTTTTATTTTTATGAAAATAAATTAAAAAAAATTATTTTTTGTGATTTTTTTAAAATATAAATTATTTATTATAGTAGAAAGTTTAGGAACCTAGATTTTGATCAAAAATGGATTGTGGGGCAGAGATTGAAATTTTATATTGTGGGGTCTATGTGTAAAATGAATCTGAATCACATATTGATATTTCTCAATAAATTTTGAATATATTATTATGGGTTTATAGTATTCCTCTTATTATAATTTAAAAATTATATTATGCTTTTTCAAGTCTCTAATTACATAACAAATAACTCTTTTATTAATAAATTATTAAGTCAAATAATAGTTTTTAATAATATTATAAAGAGATTTTTATTGATAAGTCCAATTTAGAAGTGTTTTAACCCAAGAAGTCCATGAAGGAATTTTCTAACCCATTTAGTCCCATGTATGTATAGTTTTATTCCATAAAGTCCATTTTTTTGATTTACACTATTTTCTTGAACACTTATGCCCTTATATTCAATTTTCATACCTTTATAAACATTTTTTGAACGATTAGTAATTTAATGATGTGAACATTTATATTTTTAAACTCACATTGGTAGGAATGTAAAATTGGCTGTGGGCGGCCCAAAACCCGGGGCGGGCCCGGCCCGTTGACAATGTGAATATTCACATTGACATATTAACATTCACATTAATAGGAGTGTAAAATTGGCTCGTGTCCCGTGGCGGCGTGAAACCCTCTCGCGGCCTATGGGCGAACCGGGGCGGGCCCGATCCAGCCCATTGACAATGTGAATATTTACATTGACATGTTAACATTCACATTGATAAGAGTATAAAATTGGCCTGCGGCCCATGGACGGCCAAAAGCTCACCCCCGGCACGGGGAGGGTCCGGCCCGGTCCATTGACAATGTGAATATTCACATTGATATGTTAACATTCACATAGATAGGAGTGTAAAATTAGCCCGCGTCTCGTGGCTGCCCGAAACCCGCCCACGGCCCGTGGGCGGCCCGAGGCGGGCCCGGCCTGGCCTGTTGACAATGTGAATATTTACATTGACATGTTAACATTCACATTGATAAGAGTATAAAATTGGCTCGCGTCCCACGGGCGGCCTGAAGCCCGTGGGCGGCCCGAGTTTGGGTCCGGGCCTACCCCGGGCCGCGGGCGAGCTTCGAGCAGTGGACAAATTTTACACTCCTATCAATGTTAATGTTAACATGTCAATGTGAATATTCACATTGTCAACAGGCCAGCC